GTATTTTATGGCTTAGAGATGTTAGGAATTTGTCATTTTTTTTAATGTAAAAACTTAAACTTTTGGCCGATTTATGCAAATCGGAGGCGGCTGGGCATCGCCTAGCGCCTAAGCACCGCTTAGGCTGATTTTTAGAACAATGTGGCCTAGTAAGGGTGTCTACTTCACCTCACTTTTCGAGCACCTCCTACACGTTTCTACGAGGCATCATCAATGGGTGTACTGGAGGTGCTTAAATCTCAACTTGGATCGATCATCCGAGGTGCCTTCCTTGTTTGTCGACCTCTTGTCATTATCGCGGCTTCTCCGCCTTTTTCATTTTTTCATGTCGTTCTTCAGGAAATCTGCCTCGGCCTCCTCCATGTTTATGTAATTGTTACATCTATAAAGAGTTCATCGAAGGACCTCGCTGGCCTTTTGGCAAGCGAGTTGCGACATAGTCTTGGCTGGAGCCCTCGAGTCAGACCTCCAGCTCGTATCTCCTCGGATGCTGACGGGACCTCCACACACTCCTTGGTGTACCGGGCGACATGATTTCAGAGGGAATTTCATTTCTTCTGTTGCATGATTACCAACGCTAGATAAGTCTTTTCGTGCTTCTTTGCACTAGATAATTGGTTCATGAACGGTGAGCTGAACTGTCGGAATGAGGAGATTGAATTTGTTGGTAGCTGGTGAAACCTGTTGATGAGAGTTCATCTATGAACTCTTGTCATATTGTTCTGGTATTTTAATTGTTTGGCTTTCTATACTATGATATTTAAGTCTTATGCTCTCAGAGTTTGTGTGCGTGTATGTCATGCTCTATGGTTTGATAGTTTGTAGTTAGATGACCTATGTTGGTTCATCTGTACCAGTTGCAAGCTTGACTTGACTTTTGCAGGTTATTTATTTACCATATTAATGTTTCTTAAAATAGGTAACATGGAAATTAATGCTTGAAGGAAAATGGAAGATCTTCTCATCTTAACTTTATATAATCTTAGTTATTATCTTATTATGTATTTAGAATTAATCATCTTTCTTTAGCTTGTAGGAAAAGGAAAGAAGTTAGAGATTTATTACGAGATTTCATATATATTTTCTTTCCTTAGTATTGATATTTACTTACTATATTTTATGGTATATATTTTAATTGTCTTTCTTTGCTTGTTGGAAAAGGAAGATCAATGGTAATAAAAGGAACAGATCCATGTGAGATTTGAGAGCTGAAAACGTGAGGATCAGAGATGCAAAAATTGAGCAAGAAGGAAAATATATTGAGGAAAAAAATATTTTCAAAAGTTGGCAAGGAAACAAGGAATGAAAGTTCCCAGTTTTGCTATGAAGCCAGCAGTTGGCTCCAGTGGAGCCAACCTTCTATATACAACAAGTAAACCATACGATATTTTCTGATTCTTAAGAATATTAATAATTTTATTAATATGGTATGATTTAATAAACTGTTGGCTTCATAGCAAAACTGTGAAAGTTCCACTACATTGAAGAGAGAGAGAGAGAGAGAGTGTCACAATAAACCTCTAAAGAAATTGGGCAAGATATTAATGAGGGTGACTTATAAGGCAGGAAAATTCAATTTCAAAAGTTGAACGAGTAACCGCACGTCGCTATGCGGCAAATTTAAATTTATAAAGTTTCCTCAACAAATCTCCACTAACTAGTAGTAGCGGCAAGTAAGGGTCGACCCTACAAGGATCAAAAATTAAATTGTGATTATTCTCGTATTATTCGAATTAAAACTAGGAAAACAAATAAAGATGGGGGGAATTGATTTTATAAATCTAAAAATAAAATAAAAATAAAAATCAAATAAAATAAGAGAAGTCTAATTTTCAGTTCAGTTATCACCTAATCTAAATCTACCGTTAATTAATTTCAGCGTCTTTTTTAAATTGCTAACGAATTACCAACCCTAGCAAACAAGCTCTGTTAACCGATTTTTCTCTTACCGATTATTTGATCGAAACAAGCTCTGCGACTAAACCTAACTAGTGGACAACCTAGAATAAGCTCTTTAGATTTAGTGCCCCAGCAACATTAATTTCTAGGAAACTAGATTAGTCTAAGCAACGGACGCGAAAACTCGAATCATTTAACTTATGTTCATGTTACCTTAGAGATACACATCTCTAGTTTACGTTTCTAGCAACTAAACTATGAATATTCAACATAGTTGGCCAAACAAAATCAAACACCATAATTTTAAACATTAAACACAAATAGCATGAATCAACTCACCAAAAAATTAAATACGGCGTTTCAATTAATCATGATTAATATAAATCATTCAATCTATAGACAAATTGAAATTTGAGTTCAAACTTCTCCTGGAAAAAAAACCTAGCCTAACACAATAATAAAAATAAAAAATAGATAAAAGAGATTGAATAAAATCTCCCTCGTGTGCATAGCCGGCTCTTGGGCCAGCCAAGATAGGCAACTGCCTAGGGCCTCAAATATGGGGAGGCCTCATAATTTTTTTTTTTTAATATATAATAGTATGTATGGGCTTTGTCCATTTACAAAATTAATTAAGAGTTAGAAATATAAAAACAAACTAGTGAATTGCGGCTCCTTTGATTGTCTTTTAGTTTCATCCAAGAGGAAAATAAAATAAAATGCATGGAGGAGCATATTATTTCTTGATTCAAGTCACTTACATATGGAGAGTACTATATCTAACTTAGCAATTAGCATATTACATCTGGAAGTTTCATGCTTTTGATTCAAACTTTTATGCACTAATTATATTTTAAATGTTTTACTTCTTTTAATATACAATTTTTGTTAATTTTGATTGTAATTAAACTTGTTAATATATTATTCTATGATTAGAATCTTTGTACGAGTTATGAAGAAAAAACGCAAATTCGAATCGGGAAGTTCGAAAAGGAGAAGAAATAAAAACAAGAGATATTAGCAAAGTCTCTCGATCTATGAATAGCTATGTAAAACCTAGTAATCATGTAGCAGAAGTTCGAGTGTTTGATCCTATTAAAATTATACTGGAAGTACATGATACACCCGTAGTTTAAATTGATCATTATTTAACAGATTAAATTTATTTAGATGATAATGATGAAGGGGTTGAAATTATTGAAGAAGAAAGTAATAAGCTAGAGAGTACAAATGATATCGAGAAAATGAATCATTACCTAGATAATAATTGTGAAAATTCGAATGACTTGTTCAATTCTAAAAATTGGGATAATAATATGCCTCAAAGAAAGATTTTATTTTTTAGTCGAGAAAAGGTGACTAGAGTTATGAATGTCACGTATCTATTTTTTATAGTCGAGAAAGGGTTATTAAAGTTACTAATGTCATGTATCCTATTAACGATAAAGATAGAAGTTTCAATGATAAACTCTAAAAACGATCTTTGTTGAATGCGGAAAAAATAGTTGTGAACCTTGATTATAGTGACTTGATCGATAATTTTTGCACAAAAGAACACGAGAAAGTTGTAAACTTTGTTATCTTAGTTTACTTTTATTTCTCATATTTATTGTATTTTCGTATTTATTATTGACAATGCTTAATATTATTTGTTCAACTAAAAATTTAAAATATAGAAATATGATTACAACCAACTCTTAAAATATTGTCTGGGGCCTTCGAAATTCTGGAACCGGCCCTGCTCGTGCGCGAATGCCGTTTTCCTCTCCATGTGTAGCCTTTTATCTTTTTCTCTTCCTAGTCCGTGCGGTCCCCTTTTTCTGTGTCTTTTTCTCCCGTATATAATTCTATAATTCTCATGTTGTCTTTCATTCTTATTTTGAGTGTGGTCCCTTTACTGCGTGTACTCCCAGCAAATAATTCCAAGTGCCTCTACTTATCAAAACTTCCAGCAATTAAACTCTTCAGCATCCTGCGTGAGTGTTATGTCTTGGAAATTAAATTCTAAGTTCCCTCAAGTAATTAAATTCCTCCCAGCACTCCAAATAATTTTTTGGGCCCCGCAAATTAATCCTTCCTTGGGCCTTGGCTGCTGCGAAATAACACTCCAAGCAAATAAATGTCTTCTAACTTAACCTCATTGGGCCTAACTCATGAAATAACATTGGGCCCAATATGTTGCTTTTAAATCACGAGGCCCGATAATTGATCGCTTTGAACTTCCGTTCATTGCTTCACGTCTACAAAATACTCCAATATGCTGAAAATAAATATAAAAAAAAAATGAATCCATTCAAATAATAAATATGTCGAAAAATAATAAACATGCGAATCAAACAACTCAAATCAATTAATCTAGACTCAAGATGAAATCATTCTAAGAACTCAAACAATCAAGTGTCAATTCAAGTGACTACCATAGTTCGTCAATATCTCTAACGAATGTATCAATCAATGCAACTCATGACACCCCCTTCTTTGTTAACCAGTCTAATTCCTCTTTGCTTCTAGCCGATATTCAAATGTCTCTTTCTCTATTTTTTTTTTATTTTATTAGAAGTAGGGAAAGACAGTTCCGTCACAACCCGTGGGTTTTAGCCTTTCGTGGTTGTCTCGATGGCCCTACGGATTAGCAGCTGCTGCAGCACATAACTCTTTTTTTTTTTGTGACAAATACTTTTCAACTCCACCAATTATTTCCCGGCCTCATTATTCCATTATTTTCGTCTACGAGACATCAACACCGACCTTCAACATCATGTCACTAAACATAGTCAAGATTGACCAAGATAATCACAAGCACATTTCAACAACACAATTCGATTAAATATCAACTCACTATAAATAAATCACAAAAATATCAATCATCATGCTCTTGCTCCCAAAATAAAAACACCTAAAGATATTTAACCGAATATAATCAACTCAAGCTATTTGTACTAGCACGATAAATTTTACCAACATTCATATCATTATCGCATAATTCCACATACAAGTAAGGCATACTCACAAAAATCAAGATATATAATATAGAACACAACTCAACAGCTCAATCACAACTATCTCCCACACAAATGGGTTCCCCAAACTTAGAGTTTGCACAAATAAAAGAGCAAAACAGGAGGTAAATGGAAAGAGTTCACCTTATCAAAGAGAGAAAGTCGCGGTTGAACGTCGAACACCATTGGGTTACCTTCCAACAAGCGCCTCTTTTTATGGTCGTTGGCTCGACTTATTCTCCGCTTTCTTCAAGCGGACCATGGCTGCTTCAAAGCTGGCCTCAAAGGAGGCACAAACCTTGCAGCGCCAAGCTCTTCAAGGATCCCCTCATTTAGTGTCAGATGCTTGACTGGATCATTTCTTCTTGGTAGTAGATCGTCATGAAAAATGATTAGCCCGAGATCTTGGATAAGAGGAAAAATCTCAACCACCACAAGGATGTAAGACTCTTGACTTTCAGCATGCTCGGCTGCTGGTTGATTCGTCGGAAATCGTGCTTATATTAATGGTCTAATGTTGCATTTGTGCACGTTTAATTCTCCACATTTGTGCATCTTTCGACTTATTTGACATTATTATCAACGCTCGTGCCTTGATGAATTTTTGAGTGATTTTCAGTACTTTTGGAGCTATTTTTGTTGCACGAAGAGGCGTGGATGTTCGGAAGAAGGACGAAGTAGTGTTATCAGCGAGTACGGGGTCGTCCCGTACTGACCCAGCTATCCCCGTACTGACCATCAGCGGCCCATATTGTCTCAATAGGCTCATGCAATTCACGTATATGGCAAGAGAATTAATCCAATTGGGCTGCGAGCATTAAAGTTGAAGTGGGCCTAAGTTAGGAAGATTACTTTGACCAGGAATACTACAGAACAAAAGGAGAAAAGACTTTGGCAAAAAGAGGGGATATATATTAGACTTGCGTGAAGGAAAGAAGTAATACTTTGACCTGGAGACATTATTCACTTTTTTTTGACATTGCGGCTGCGGGACAAACAGAGAGAAAAGGGATCGCGAGCAAAACAGCAACAAAAACCTTTGGAGAATTAGAGAAGAATTTCTTAATTTCTTTTCTTTTTCTTTTCTTGTGTAATTAATTCTATGATTATATTTTTGAACACTATGAGTGAGTAGTTTCTTTATTCTAGTCCCGGGGAAGTCGAACCCTACGAATGACTATGTTTTGATTGATTATTTGGTTGATGAATTCAATATCTTTTTGGAATTGCTTGTGTTATTTTGAATAATTAACCATGATGTGTTAGTCTAGTTTAGATTGATCACCTAGATTAGGCTTTTCATATCTACATCTGAATTAGGCCTGCAATCCGTAATTGTTGTTGTGTTTAATTCATAAGAGGTAACCGGAAGATGGTAACTACCGGGGATAACACGGCCTAATTAAGTGAACGAACGCGGTTGAGTTCACTAATTAGTCTAGCCTATTTTTCTAAATCGTAAAGCGGCTAATTGTATTAAATCTTGAAAACGTTTTTCTGGACTGTACAAAAAGTCAGGTTTAATCGTCGAGCGTCTCGCGGTTAAATTAAAAATAAGGAAAAATTCGGGTAACAGACCGTGTCGTTACCTAGGGCTAGTAATTCCAGGAGATAGCGAAATCTGATACTAAAATTAATTAAACGAGTCAATCGAGGGTGTAGACGGAACCGTGGACTAGATATTTCCCCATTTATTTGATAATCATCTTTGTTTGCTGCATTTGGTTTCATTATATTATTCATATTTTTAGTAGTTAATTAATTCATACCAAAATCCCCCTTTTTATTAGTATTTACATGATTTCAATTAAAGAAAATAATTACAACTAAATTCCACACTCCCTGTGGGTTCGACCCTTGCTCACTACTACTGCTAGTTGGTAGAAGTCGGTTAAGGAAAATAAATATTATATTTTGACCGTGTCGCGACGCGCGGTCAAATTTTGGCGCCGTTGCCGGGGAGTAACGGAATTGAGTTGTTAATTGTTTTTCCATTAATTGAAAATAGGATTAGTTTTCATAATTAGTTTATTTTTATTTTCTTAGTTTGAAGTTCGAATCCCCCCCTGTTACTTGCTTTCTTTTTATTTCTTTTTAATTTCTGCTCCCAGTAGTACAGGGTCTCCCCGTATTCTGTCCAACAGAATTATCAGACCCCATACTCACTGTGCAGAATAGGTTTGAAACTTGGTTCTTTCGACATATCTTGCTGCATTCGATACTTATAATTTTAGTGGTCTTTCAGGTGAATGAACACGAGGTCTTCTGGACATAAACCATTGACATACAACCCGGAAATCACAAGGAAGGATAAGGAGAATCGGAGGCTAGCAAGGTTGGCAAAGGAATCGCAAGAAAACCGAGAGCGAGACTATCCGGTGATTACTGATTATCATAGTTCTTCCAGCGAGCCCGATAACACTGAATATTCTGATTCTTCGAGTGAGGAAGGAGCAATGGCGGGAGACCAAGAACGAACGTTGAGGCAACTAGCCAATCCCCGACTTCTTCAACAACCTTTGTGCATAACATTTCCAACGGTGAATGACGCCACCTTCGAGCTTAAGTCGGGCCTGATACACTTATTGCCGTCATTCAACGGCCTCTCAGGCGAGGATCCTCACATGCACCTGAAGGAGTTCCATACCGTCTGTTCCGGAATGAAACCCGCCGGAGTAACCGAGGAGCAGATCAAACTTCAGGCGTTTCCATTTTCATTGAAGGACCGAGCCAAAGATTGGCTATACTACTTACCGTCGGGGTCCATCACCACGTGGGCTGATATGGAGAAAGCTTTTCTCCAGCGGTACTTTCCGGCATCGAGGGTTGCGAATTTGCGTAAGGAGATATGTGGTGCCAAGCAATTGCATGGAGAGACGCTATACGAGTATTGGGAGAGATTCAAGAGGCTCATTGCTTGTTGTCCTCAGCACCAGATGACGGAGGAACTGCTAATTCAGTACTTCTACGAGGGATTGTCCCTCATGGATAGGAACATGCTCGATGCGGCAAGTGGAGGCACTCTTATGGACAAGACACCGACGGCCGCAAGGGATTTGATAGCAAATATGGCAGCAAACTCCCAGCAATTTGGCACTCGGGAGGCATCTTTTCAGTCGGTTAATGAGGCTGGTATTGGCACTTTGGAGTCTCAAGTTAAAGAGCTGACGTCTTTCGTCCGAAAATTGGCCACAGAAGGTTTTCCGAGGGTGCAACCTTGCATGCGTTGCGAGACGACTGATCACGCTACGGACAATTGCCCTCTTATCAATGGTGAGGTGGAGGCTCAAGCGAACGCGATAGGGTCCAACAATGGGCCGGGCCGAAACTATGACCCTTTCTCCAACACCTACAATCCCGGTTGGAGAGACCATCCCAACCTTCGATATGGAAACCCATCAGGGGGAGTGTACGCGGAGAAAGATAATCGGCCACCCCAAATTTTTCAAAGAGGTCAAAATTTTCCACGACAAGCGGGTAATGGTCAACCGAACTCCATGCCACAATCTTCCCTAGAAGAGATGATCAAGACGCTTGCAACTAGCTCCATGACTTTTCAGCAGGGTGTTCAAGAGAGCATAAAAAATCAGGAGATGAACATCCAGAATCAGGGATTGAATATTAAGAGCCAAGGAGTGAGCATCAAAAACTTAGAAGGCCAAATGAGTCAAATGGCGGAGCATATGAGCCGACTAGATGCACAACTCGGGGGCCGACTTTCATCTCAATCTGAGTTGAACCCTAAAAATGTCAGTGCCATCACCTTGCGGAGTGGGAAAGAATTAGAAGCCCCAACGACTCAAAACGAGAAGAATGGAAGTGAAAAAGAGGGTCTGTCAGCAGAATATGGGGCCGAACAGCAGAGTACGGGGACACCCTGTACTCAGTCTGCAGAGATTGAAAAGCCGAAGGGCAGTCCGATTTTCCCTCCACTGAAACCCGAACCTCTACCTTTTCCATCCAGGGTACGAAAGGCAGCAAAGGAAGATGCTGAGAAGCAGGTTCTTGATGTGTTCAAGAAAGTCGAGATCAACATTCCTCTCATTGATGCAATCAAGCAAGTCCCTCGATACGCAAAATTTTTGAAGGACCTATGCACCAACAAGCGAAAGCTGCAAGGGAATGAGAAGGTTCTGATGGGAGAGAATGTCTCGGCAATTTTTCAGAAGGATTTACCTCAAAAGAGAAGCGACCCAGGTATGTTTTCGATTCCATGCACAATAGGGAATTTAAAAATCGAGCGAGCCATGCTCGATTTGGGAGCATCAATTAATGTTATGCCTCGCTCTATTTTTGATTCCTTAAATTTGGGTCCTCTTAAAGAAACTCGGGTGGTAATTCAACTTGCCGACCGAAGTACTACTTTTCCGGATGGGGTAATTGAAGATGTTTCTCGTTAAAGTTAATGAGCTTATTTTTCCCGCTGACTTTTATGTGTTGAGTATGAATGACAGGACTCCTATATCAACCCCGATTTTGTTAGGGCGGCCGTTCTTGAACACCGCTCAAACAAAAATCGATGTTCGTGAAGGCACTCTCACAATGGAGTTCGATGGCAATGTTATTCGTTTTAATATTTTTGATGCCATGAAATTTCCTGACTCTGACCATTGTGTTTATTTACTTGACTGTATTGAACCATTGGCACAAGAGTTTCTCGACACTTACAGGGAAGATGAGCTAGAGTTGGTGATTTCACAAGGTTTGGACAAAAATCAAGCAGTACGGGGTACCTGCCCAGGAATACAGGGCGACCCCATACTCGGACTGCAGAGAGATAGTAACCAAACCGAACTTTGTTACCAGCTGGAGTTTGTTGATGAGGCCGTAACAGCTTTGAATACACTAAAACCATATATTGGAAAGCAGGATAAAAATTTTATTCGGTTACTTGAGCCTGATAAGAAAATTCTTCCTTCTACTTTGCAGGCACCGGAGCTTGAACTGAAATCCTTGCCGAGCCACTTGAAGTATGCATATTTGGGAGATGATCGAACACTCCCAGTGATAGTGTCATCAAAGTTAGAACCTGACCAGGAGGCAGCCCTTATTGAAGTATTGAAGAATTACAAACGAGCAATCGGATGGACCATTGCCGATTTGCGTGGGATAAGCCCGTCCATTTGCATGCACCGTATCCTTCTCGAGGAAGACGCTAAACCATCTCGGGAGGCACAGCGACGGCTGAATCCTCCTATGATGGAGGTGGTGAAGAATGAAATTATCAAGTTGCTGGACGTTGGAGTCATTTACCCGATCTCGGATAGCCGGTGGGTGAGCCCGACGCAAGTGGTTCCAAAGAAATCGGGTGTGACTGTGATCGAGAACCAGGTAGGTGAGTTGGTTCCCACTCGTGTACAGACCGGGTGGAGGGTATGCATCGACTATCGTAAGTTGAATGCTATGACTCGCAAAGATCATTTTCCATTACCTTTTATTGATCAGATGTTGGAGAGATTGGCAGGTTACTCTTACTATTGTTTTCTAGATGGCTATTCAGGTTATTTTCAGATTCCCATTGCACCCGAGGATCAGGAGAAGACCACATTTACGTGTCCGTTCGGGACATTCGCTTACAGACGCATGCCATTCGGACTGTGTAATGCGCCTGCCACGTTTCAAAGGTGCATGGTGAGCATCTTTTCGGAGTACGTCGGCAATATAATAGAGGTACTTATGGATGATTTTAGTGTCTATGGTGAGTCATTTAATTCGGGCCTCGAGAACCTTGCTTTAATCTTAAAACGATGTATTGAAACGAATCTTGTTCTTAATTGGGAAAAGTGTCATTTCATGGTAGAACAGGGTAAAAGTGTCATTTCACCTTCGCGAGGCGACGGCACACCACCTGAATCGCAACCCGTGTCACCGTCATGCGCCGCTGAATTTCCGCCTGCACCGCCGGAATTGGAGAATCCGTCGCCACCGTCTGCTTCCAGATTGGCGAACCCGGCACCAGGCGCCGCTGAATTACCCCCGCACCGCCGCTGTCCTCATCCAGACCGGTTGCACTACCAACGGCGATAGGAACGTCGCCGTCCCGTTCCAGGTAGCCCGCTTCGCCATCACCGGCCCCGTCAACCTCGCCGGTGCCCTTGACCGAAGCCCCGTCAACCGTCGTCCGACCCGAACCCGGTGAACCCATCGGCGCCTGCCCCGCTACTGTCTGCTTTGAAGCCCACGTCGCCATCTCCGGTTCACGGCCACTCCTCAGTCGACCACATCAAACCGGCTCCCGTCTGCTTTCGAGTCGCGGCTGACGAGCCTACGCTGCCAGTCACCCGAACTTCATTCCGGACAGCATCTGGGACCACCGTTAGCCGAACCCGAGCCTCACCAGAGTACTCGGGCCTAAGCGGGCTCGTGCGGGCACATCATAGGCTCGAGGAGTTAGAGCGAGAGCAGCAGCGCGTTCCCACTGACTGACCCTACACACCGGCACGCGCCAGGATGCTACCTATGACGAGGGAAGTCCGATAACTCCTTCTATTCTTATTTTATAAGCATTCTTAGTGTTGTGACGTTGAGGACAACGCCAATTTTTAAGTGTGGGGTGGGGTCGGTTCTTGGTTGCCCTATATACTGCTGTTCATGGTGATTTTGATTTTGATTTGCTTGTTATGTTGAAGTTAGAGTCAGATTTGATATTTGTCTGATGGTGTCGAGTCTTGTTTAGAATGTCATTTGTGATTGTGCTTGATTTTCTTTCCGATGCCGGTTCTTGATATTTTTTTTTTATGTGTGCGAAAATTTTTGGAGTCCTTGTGTGCTGCATATTTAATTGACTGGTTGCTCTTGATGATCATATGGCATTCTATGGCCGAATGCACGAGGATTAACACTATTTGTCCCTGATTATTGTGAGGTTTGAGCCAATGAGCATATAATGAATATGATGCTCCCTTTCTTGATTGTGTGATGTCACGACTGGTTGATCTTTCTAGAACTTGCCTTGTTATACACGTTTATGTTTGATTCTTGATGAATATGGATGCACATAAGTGATAAGGGTGTTTAGGATGAACCTTTGTGTTGTGACCATTTTCTTTGATGAACTTAAACCGAATTATTTCCATTAGTAAGCCCCTTTGAGCCACAAAGCCTTTTCTTTGAATAATAACCACATTACATTCCTTAATCCCTTTTTGTTGATATCTTATTTGAACCCTCGAATTGAAGCAACTGTGTGAATTCTTTTCTGATATTGAGTGATTTTGAGCAGCGGGTCTTTCGGGTTTGGGGGTTTATATGGGGTTGTTTATTTGGTGATTGAGGAAGCTCTGTGATTTGAGTTGGTTGGAGATTGCGAGCCATGTGAATAGATTTGTGTTATGTGTCTGCC